TGCCAAATCCTGCATAAATTTTAAAGATTCAGTTATAAATAATATTTTTAAACCAAATTAATTTTGATTTCAGTCCTACTTTCACTTGCAGGATGAGGAATGACATCACTTGAAAAAATAGGAGGAACAAAATCATTCTCAGTGCCATTGGAATTGGACGAAGAAGTGTCTCTCTTGTTCTTCATCTGTCCAAAGAAATAAAAACAATCATATCATCATACGAGGAAATACAAATAATTGATTTGCACGTATTTGAATTAATTGAAAAAAACAAAATTAAAGTTAACTTTCTACTTTAAGTTACTTGGACTCGGGTTTGAATATTCGATATAAGTGCGGATCTAGAAATTGAATTCTCTGTAACCTAATTTTTTCTAAGATTTGGGGATACAGATCTATGTGTGGATACATGTACAAAAAGTTATAAATTTATATTATGTGAAAAAATCTAGGAGAAAATAATGATCAATAAGAAAATCAGATAAAATGAAAGAGAACAAAAATAGAAATTTATATATACAGCATATTCTATTTTCTTAATTTCACCTCAGGTTTTATTTTAATCACATACATTATTATATTTTTGTAGAAAATTTCTCCCTCGGATTTGATCGACGTATTAAAAGTTGGTTGACCAGAATAGGTACGGATCCCACAACTCACACCCATATTGTATCGACACGGATACACCAAAATAAAAAATTCAAGCAACTTAGCAATTTTCATAGATAACCAAATTAGAGAAACTTACATTCTTTTTATCCTTTGAAGACCTTTTCTCAGTCGAAGCATTGTCAGATTCTGATGATGAAGCCATATGTGCTTAATTGAAAGAAGCAAGATTAGTACTGTTTATGAGTGATGAAGTGAGAAAAATTAATAATGGAAGACTTCTATTTATAGCTCTTACATGTAATCTAGTCATTGATGATTTGTTGACCCTCTTGTCAAATATTTATAAGATTTACTTGCCATCAATTTAATTTGGTATATACATTTATTAAAATTCATAATTTGTTAAAATTGTTTTCCCAAAGCAATTAATTAAGAATTATTACATATTAATTGAATTACATGCGAATTGGAATAATATTTGACAATTATCAAATTGATTTATATTACAGCCTTTTATTATCGACTTCTTTTTTTACTTCATTAGAATTTGTATATTTTTTTTTTGTTTATTTTAATTCACGTAACAATTCTTCTGTAAAAGGATAATCATTATTTTTTTGAACTAAAAAAGAGAAATATTGATTAAATGTATAGGCTAAGGATATCTTATAATGATGAAATTAGTTATATTTATAATAATTGAAACCCCAATATTCATTTATACAATTGAAAATAGCATGCTATCAACCTTGGAGAACTGATGCGAAAGAAAAAAAATTTGAAAATAGCATATATTAATATCCATATAAGTACATTTCGATGTAGGAGATACCAAAAAAATAATTTAATTAAGGTCAAATTCTTAAAGATTGTAGTTAGTTCGATCTTAAATTATTTTCAATTATAATTTATGTAAGACTTTATCATTTTCAATCAAAACTAATTTATTTATATAGGCAATAGAAAATATCTCTACTTTTATATCACTTGACTCTCATTTCATGGATAGTTATTTTAATTACTTGTCCAATTATAAAATCAAAAGAATTTTTTTATATTCTCTTATTTTTATCTTTAGTATTAAATAACTGCATAAAGTAATAATAGTAATCAAAATAAAGCTTCAAAATAGTATTAATAATATTTATTTAGTGAATACACCTCTAATTATTATTTTAAGAGATGTCATATTAAAAATGAAGTAGTAAGAGAGTGGAATAAGAACAAAAGAGTATGCATACATACATGTACACACCTTTAATGCATATTATATTGAAATAATAATCATACAAATAATATTAATTATGTGAAAATTCACAAATATATTATTCTACTTACAATATTAATGAACTTAAGGAAAAAGTAATAAATACCTAATATATATATATATATATATATATATATATATATATATATATATATATATATATATATATATATATGTAATATAAAAAGGGTAAGATGGACAATACGTAAAATAAAGGAGGAAGTCGATGATTATTCCAAATTGAGGAGGGAGTTTGATTCTAAAAAACAAAAATGAAGGATGAAAATGATTTTCACAACAAAATTATTACAATATTTCTTTTTGGTTCACTGATATGGTCAAGAAAAAATTTGAGTTGAGGATAACTATTCAATATTTTCATTAACACAATAACAACTAATATATCACAATTAAAAAAAAAATATTTAAAGTTTAGTATATGAATCATTTGCATTAACTATGATTCACACTTGAGCTCGTTTTCTCTAGTGCTTCCACAAATTATAAAATGAGGATTCTAGTATAAAGACAAAAAAAGAATAAAAATATAAAAAAGGCAGACAAAACATAGAATTTCAGTTTGATGATACAATAAATAATAACGAATGAAGTTTATTAAAGAAATTAATAAGATACCTGAGATTTTGTATTTTGTGTTATTGTTTGTGGAGATTTGGATGCAAATAATATTATTTCTTCAATGTTTTATCAGACAGTAGAATGAAATTTCGAATTGAATCTGAATATAATGAAATGATTCATGCACTCTTCAACAAATTAATGTGGTGACTTTTTGAGCTTTTCTTTTTCAATTAATATTGTAAATTTTTTAACATTCTAAAATGAGAAAATAGATGAATGGCCTTCTTAATTGGAAAAAAATCAAATATTATAAATGTTTTTCAATATTCTATAATAAGAAAATAGATAAATAGTCATCATAATTCCAAAGAACGCCACATCATCAAGTTAAGGATCCTCTTTTTCTTTTTAATTAATATTTAATAATATATTTTAACATTCTAAAAAAATAAAATTAAATATATAATAAACATTTTTTAATATTCTAAAATAAGAAAATAAATAATAGGTCATCTCAATTACTGGGCTGAGGATCCTCTTTTCTTTTTTTTGACTAATATTTTAAATTACTTATAACATTCTTAAATTGAAAAATAGATAAATCGTTTTAATTAAAAAAATGTAACATTACTAGGCTAAGAATCCCCTTTCCTTTTTAACTAATACTGTTAAAGAATGACAAAAGTCCCACATCGGTGATTAATGAGATGGGTGGACTCTTTATAAGGCTTGGGCAATCCTCCATCCTTTGAGCTAGCTTTTGGGGTGTGAGTTAGGCCTAAGACCTAATTTTACATGGTATCAGAGCAGGGCCCGTCTCACCCGATGTTGGGGTCCCCAAAATCAAAATTGTCCACGCACCAGATGCTAAGCACTTGGGGTGTTAAAGAATGACAAAAGTCCCACATCGGTGATTAATGAGATGGGTTGACTCTTTATAATGCTTGGGCAATCCTCCATTCTTTGAGCTAGCTTTTGGGGTGTGAGTTAGGCACCGTAATTGTTTTTTTTTTTAACATTTTAAGAATAAGAAAATAAATAATGAAAGATAATCTTAATTTAAAAAAGCCTCATATCACCGAGGTAAGGATCCTCTTCTATTTTTTTTAATCAATATTGTAAATGTCTTTAATATTCTAAAATAAGAAAATAAATAAATGGTCATTTTAATTTCAGGGAGGGTCAAATCACCGAGTTAAGGAATTGTTTAAAAAAAACTAATGTAGTAAATGTTCACTGATATTCTACAATAAGAAAATAGATAAATGATCATCTTAATTTCAGAGAGCGTCACATCATAGGCTAAGGATCCTATTTTTAAAAAAATAAATATAGTAAATGCTTTCTAACATTCTAAAATAAAAAAAAAAGATAGATAAATGATCTATCTTATTATTTTTAAAGAGTATCACATCAGCAGCCTAAGGATTTTTTATTTTATCTTTTTTAAAAAAAACTAATATTGTAGATATTTTTTGACATTTTAAAATAAGAAAATAGATAAATGGTAGAAAATCATCTCACCCCGATTATTAATTGAGTACCTATAAATATTATTAAGACTGTAAATTTTAAATAGGTATTGATCAAAATAATTTTAAATTTTAGTCAAAAATAAATTTTATATATAATATATGAATTTATATGATATTAGTAAATCATCTCATTTAGTTTAAAATGAACGTTTGCAAATATTAATGCTAATTTTATGTGCTGTGGAGTAAAATTTAAATGTTTAATCTAAAATAAGTTTATATATTTTTGTGTGGTAGCTAGTAAGTTATTTATCTGAAGTAAATTAAATGAGGTGTTTACTAATCAATTTGAATTAGTTATAATATTTATTTATCAATTTAACTGTTATTTATTTTAATTTGAGGTGATTTGACTAAAAAAACAATTCGATTCAAAATGTGATAAGGTGTCCACAATCCATTCAATAAAAAAATGACTAACACTGAGACTTATAATCACTAAAATTTCTATAATAAAGTTTTAAAATTTAATATTTTATCTTAGAAGGAAGAGAAATGACATTTTCAAATCCACGAAAAATTTACATAGATACTCATATTAACATACATGAAACGAACAAGATAAATACTTTCACCTTAAGCATTTTTTATGTTATAAGTAAATTTTAATAGAAACATATATTACATCTTCAAAATTATTTACAAAATCATTTACAAAACAATATATTATGTGTGTATGATAATAAAATGTATGTATATAATTTGTGCATTTAATTTAATTATTTCTTCAATTTTTTTAAAATGAAATTATGATATACCAAATATTATCAATAATTAAAAAATTTAAACCAAATAAAACCAAAGTCAAATAAAAGTGATTTATTTAATCAATTTGTTTGATTTGATTTCTTCGGTTTGCATCGATTTTTTTTTCAAATCTTAAATACCTCTAGTTTTATGTATGCATTTTTACGATAGTAGATTATCAAATTACTAAATATTAAGTGAATACACATAAATATTAGTAACATTATATCTCGTAAACTTGAGAAAAAGCTAGAAAAGTTCTTTTTTATGTATTTAAGACTATTAGTATTTCTTTTTTTAAAAAATATAATAAATGATTGCACCCTCTTTTAACAGTGCAATACATTACTAAATACTAGAGTCTACAAGATATTGCCTACCACTCCTTAGTAGCCACGCAAATGAAGTCGAAGCAAACGAAAAACCAATAGTTTGGAACCTAAAAATATAAAATGTTAATAAAAGTTTTAAAACGGTATATAAATTTTTATTTTAATCAAAAGGGTAAAATTGCTACAAGAGCAGCAATGTTATTTGCCCGAAAAAGCACCCAAAAAAGCAAAATCACTGCAATAACAACAATTTGCAAAATAATTTTTTTAAATAATTTTTTAATAAATTGCCTAAGCAGCAATTTTTATTTACTACTTATTTTTAAAAATCATTTAAAAAAATTATTTTAAAAATCGCTGCTATTGCAGCAATTTTATTTTTTCCGGCGAGCAACATCGCTGCTCTGGTAGCAATTTTGCCCTTTTGATTAAAATAAAAATTTATAAACCGTTTTAAAATTTTTGTTAATATTTTATAACTTTTAGATTCCGAACTCGAAAAAAACAAACCCAAAGAGATGAGATATTTTTCATCATACAGAAAAACCTAAGCCGAACATATCCATTTGACAAGTCCATCATCTTCTAACGTCTCCCAAAAGTCGTCTTCATCACCATTCTGTATACTACTACCATTTTCACCATTAACAGCCACGTCACCACCATTAAGGACTTGTACTAATAATTCTCTCTCTTCTTCCATTACTACACTAGCCAACTTGTTAATCTCATCATTGACCGCCCTAGCAGTATATTCTGAAATAGGAAAATTGGTTTTAGCCTTTTCACCTCTAAATTCTATAGCTTTTTTGTCGTAAGCTCTAGCAGCATCTTCAGCAGTAGCAAAAGTACCAAGCCAAAGTCGTTGGGCTTTATGCGGGTCACGGATCTCCGCGGCCCATTTTCCCCATGGTCTTTGTCTCACTCCCCTAAATTCCTTTTTCATATTCCTCCTTCTCCTCTTCTTCCCCTTCCCCAACTCCACATTAATGCTGCTCCTACGTGGCATCGAATTAGCTGACGTGGATGAACTACCACCGCTAGCATTTTGTACTTCCAACAAAAGCTGAGCAGCTTCTCCGTTCGCTCGGACGTCGCCGGCGCCGGCGCCGGAGACAACATGTCGTAGAGCTGACACCATGTAGTAAAGTTCTTGGTTTTCAGTCAGCTTGTGTGCGAGGGGATAACTGTTATTTTCTTCAAGTAGAGAATCTTGACGGAATCTATTCATTTTTTTTTTCTTAGCTGAATTTTGTCTGTTGTATGATATATAGAATTGTGTGCTTATTTATAGATTTCGTTTGGGTATATGTGGCTTCGGTAGAGTGAGCTTGGAATACTTGCTGCACACCAAGTTAACTCAAATGTAGGCCACGTAATGAACAACACTGATTACTCCACGTGGCTATTTAGCGAAAAATTGGCCCATGTGATACATTCGTAGGTTCTAAAGTTACTTAAAAAGGAAAATATCTTCGTAGGTTCTGGAAAGAACTTAGGACTTTCTATAAATAGAAGCTTCCTTCATTCGGGGTAACTACTACTCTGAATTGGATCAGAATCGAAGCTAGAATTTTCAATAAGAGAGTTTAAAATCTGAAAAAATAATCATACAAAATAGTCGAAGGAGGTTCGACATCTATTACATACCTAATAAATTATTTTAACCATATAAAAATAATATAATTTTCCGGAGGTTCGGATGAACTCGCTTAACATACTGTAGCTCCGACTGATTGGATTCTATATTTCTAATAATAAAATAAATTTTATACTAGTGAATTTAAGCATTATTACCTAATATTAGTAAAAAGAAAATACTCTCTTCGTTTAAAAAAATGATCTGTTTTTTCTTTTAATCCGTTTCAAAAAGAATGACCTCATTTCCACATGACTGTTTAAGATTACAAGATTAAAGAGTGATTTTATAAATTTAACTTAACTTTAATTTAAAATCACTAAATTTAAAAGTCTTATTTATACACTTAAACTCTATGTCAAATTAATTCAAATTATTCATTCTTCGTAAAAGAGAGAGTAGTACAATTCCCTCAGCTGGCCTCTGCTGTGTATTAATTGAATTATAGTGTATCCTATTAAAAAGAATTTTTATGATATAGATTTTAAAAAGTCAAATATTTTTTTTAAAATTTTTTAAACTATTCTCTTACAAAATATTAAGCGGTTAAAGAAATCTCACCGTATAAAGGGTAAATAAAAATAATTAATAATTTCTTAAAATTTTGAATATTCACTTAAAAGTTTCAAACAATTTATTTAATATAGAGCAGAGGGAGTTGTAATTTAAAATTATTTTTAAGTACGGTTAATATTCTCTCTATCTCATATTAGTTGATCATTTTTCTTTATACATATTAAAAAATCATAATAAAAAGATTATTTTACTAATTTACTTTTTGAAAAACTTTTTGAGAATTATCCAAATAAATATAAATACTTTTAAAAATAATTAATTACAAGAATAATATTAAAAAAATTAATTACTATTCTCTCTTTTTAATAAGATAACAACTAATATGAACCAAGACATTTTTATTTGGATTGACTTAAAAATAAACTTGTAAATCAAAAAAAAGAAAAAATTTAAATAACTTTTAAGTCAAAAATTAAAAAATAAGAAAATCCTATTTTTAACTTTTAAGTTATTTCACTTTTTTAAAATTTATTTATATTATATTGATATTTATTGAATACTTCCAAAAGGTAAAAAATTGACTCTGTTTTAAAGTTCATCTAAACACCTCTCTTAGTTTTGGAGTTCGATGGCTTGTGTAAGCTGCTGAATCACTAACTGCGTACTACGTGGTGTGCCATCTTGCCTCCATTTGACGGCTTTGCTAAGCCACGTAACACCTAGGAAGTTCACTCCGTTGTGCTGAATGACGTGGCTCTTACAGGCTTAATTAGTACTCCTGCTTCCTAAGGCAAATATACAGTTGACACCGCAATATTCGTAGAACATCTCATCCTCGAAGGTTCTGGAAGGAAAACCTAAAAGGGTTATTTTGTTGAACGAGATGACATCTAATTGATTAATAATATTTTTAAAGCATGTTATTTATTATTGTTATAAAGAACATGTTTTTAATCTATTTAACTATTCACTTCTAAATGAAGAATATTAATATTATTTATTTTTAAATGAGTTAAATATTCAATGGATAGATACTCCAATATACACATATTGATTACGCATTGTGCCACGCTTACTCAATACTTGTACAAGATATTTTCTACCACTCCTTAGTAGCCACTCAAACGACAAACAAACGAAAGAATAAAGATATTTTCAGACCCCATAAAACAACCTAATCTGAATAGAGGATCATATTTTGTGTTATCCGCTTGAAAAGTGCATCATCTTCTAACGTCTCCCAAAAGTCGTCCTCATCACAATTTTGCATACTATTACTCCTATTTTCACCATTTAATTCTCTCTCTTCTTCCATTACTACTGTTGGCGACATGTTAATCTCATCATTGATCGCCCTAGCAGTATATTCTGAAATAGGAAAATTGATTTTAGCCTTTTCACCTCTAAATTCTATAGTTTTTTGTCGTAAGCTCTAGCAGCATCTTCAGCAGTAGCAAACGTACCAAGCCAAAGTCGTTGGGCTTTATGCGGGTCACGTATCTCCGCAGCCCATTTTCCCCATGGTCTTTGTCTCACTCCCCTAAATTCCTTTTTCGTATTCCTCCTTCTCCTCTTCTTCCCCTTCTCTAACTCCACATCAATACTCCTACATGCCAAATTACCACTACTAGCATTTTCAACTTCCAACAAAAGCTGAGAAGCTTCATCGTTATCGCCGGTACCGGAGACAACATGTCGGAGAGCTGACACCATGTAGTAATTTTCTTGTTCTTGAGTCAGTTTGTGTGTGAGGGTATAGCTCACATTCTCTTGTTCAAGTAGAGAATCTTCGCATAAAATAGTCATTCAATCTTTTCACTCCTAAAATAAGCAAAACTGACACTCCTGAAATTTGTTGTAGTAGTATAGTAATGATAAAGTTGTGAGCTTATTTATAGACTTCGTTTTGACTTTTGGAACACACTGAATGTACACGAAGTTGACTTATATTTAAGCCACTTAAGGAGTCTTATCTCTTTTATATACGGTCAAATAGTCAACCTGGTCTTTCCACGTAACAGCAAGGCATATTCGTACATTCTATAGTTACTGAAAAAAGGATATATTTCGTACGTTTTAGGAGCTTTGACATTCGAAGGTAACAAAACATCCAAAAATCGAACTTTCTATTTCTAAATTTCAGAAGTTTTAATTAAATTGTTCGTGTATGATAAGGTCTTTAAAAGAAATATTTTAGACATAAATAAAATACTAGTATCTTTTTTTTTTATCAAACTTCTACTAATTATTTTTAAGTTAGTCTTCTTAAAAAAAAAATTCTCCGTCCTATTTTATGTGGCTCCGTATTATTTTCTTTTGATCAGTTTCCAAAAAAATGTCGTATTTTTTTATATAGTAAGTATTTAAAGGTATAATTCCTCTTTTACCTTTGTTGATTCCACTTAATCTTAAATAATACTTTAATATATTTATGAAAAGAGAGAAAAGTAAGTTCACTTTTGAAGGATAATTTGATAAACAATTCAAAGCTTTCATTTATTTTTTAAATTTCATACCGAATCAAGTGATGTCACATAAAATGAGATGGATGGAATAGTAATTAAGATTTTCTTTGTCTCAAGGATAAATAAGAAAAAAGTCTTAAGTCATAATTTATTTGTTTAAACTCTGAATTACTTATTTTAAATTATGGACAAAAAATCATTTTATATTAATGGTAAGAAGTCCTGGTAACAATGTATCTGAGGCAAACTCTTTTACAAAAAGCACTTGAGTTAGAGCTTGTATGACATGTTATTGAGTGCCCAAAAATAATTCTACTTTCACAGAATTAGAAAAACAAAAAGAAGTTAACAATAATATTTTTGTTAAGATTAGGAAAAAAATAACAATTAAATATTTAACGCTTCAATGTATAATATTGATTGAAAAATTGAATATGAACAATTTAATATAATAAAATAAAAATTTAATGTAATTTCTTCTAATCAATGTTTAAACTAGTTTCTTTTTTAATAAAATAGTCTTAATTAAAAGTACATTAATACTTATCTTTAATCGTAATTTAACTCTCAAAAATACTTTTTTTAAAAGATTAATCAAGTACAATTTACTTATAGAAAACGCCTTTTCAAATAAACTAGTCAAATACTAATTGTTTTTTTCAAAAACACATTTTTTCAAAAAAGATTTTTAAAAAAAAAGACTTTCTGAATATAACCGATTTTTATCGGCAATGCTAAATAAGTTCTTAGAGTGTGTTTGGTATGAAGGAAAACATTTTCTGGAAAGTGTTTTTCAATTTTCTCATGTTTGGTTGGGACAAAAGTTTTGAAAAATGTTTTCCAAATCAACTCATTTTCCTCAAAATTAAGGAAAATGATTTCCCTTCAAAAATTAAGGAAAACATTTTTCAAAACTCTCCTCTAATTTTAGATTACATTTTTTTTTTTTTGGAAAACAACAATTTAAAAATCAGCATGTATAATATATATGTGGATATATTATATACATATACACAATACAAGAGAGTACATAGATATGAAAAGTGAAAAAGAGAAGGACAAGCAACTTGTAAAAAAAAAAGAAGCTTTTTAAACTTGACAAATAATATGGTTTTGTACTACTAGTTTGCGAAGCTGGTTTTCCTCATCATCCTCATAAACTCTTCCGCACTTACTTCTCCATCACCTAATACAATAAGATCTACATCAGTATACTTATTAAAAAAATAGTATACTGAAATTTAAGGAAGATTTAATGTGAGAAACAAACTTACGATCACGATCTGCTGCCTCTATCATCTCTTGTATTTCTTTTGCGCTGAAATTTTCACCCAACTCCTTTGCAATTTGCTGAATATCAGCAGCAGATATTTTCCCCTGCATTCTCAAGATACATTATTATTACTAACGGATTGGTGGAGAACGATTCAAAACTACTCTGTGGATATTAAAGACTTACATTTTTATCTTGATCTAGTATGTTAAATGCTTTCGCGAGATCCTCTTTAGTGTCCCTCTCCCCTATCTTGGCCGTCATCATGTGTACAAATTCATCAAAATCAATTGCACCACTACCATCCTTGTCGACATCAGCAATCATTTGCTCAACTTGCTGATAACAAAATGGTCCGTTTGACATGTAGTAGTATTAATAAATCATAAACCAAAAGAGGACGTAAACTAAAAGGGATTGAAAAATTACCTCCTCTGTCATTTCAAATCCAAGGGCCCTGCAATACAAGTTACATTAGCACATAACTTAGATTGATTTAACTTGAGAAAAGAAATTACCAAACCTCATAGCAACATTCAGCTCACTGGCATCAATAGTTCCTGAACAGTAGCAGTTACAAAAAAATAAAAAAATTAAAGACAACACGCACAAAAATCTGTTAAAATATGTATTAGGATGGAAACAGTTCCATACCAGAGCCATCGGTGTCAAAGAGCTCGAATGCTTCTTTGATCTCTTGCCTTTTCTGCTGTGTAAGCCCAGGATGACGGTTTCTAGTCTCCTTTCTTGACATCTTTCTACTTACGCTTGCCTGATGATAAGATACACAAGTAGGCAAAATACAGTTTGTTCACAAGTAAAAGAAAAAATAGGAAATGAGATTTTACTTTCATTTGAAGTGTGGGATAAAGCATGAAAATCATAAGATGTAACCACAACATAGTTTAAACACATTGGCATCTTCCACGGATTCAGCCGTTAATTTACAATAATATTGCTCGGTAATCAGCCACAGCATAAAGCTCTCCATCTAGTTTTTCTTTTTTCCTATTAAACCTGAGGCGTGCGCCTAACTCACAAAATCATGTGTTACAGTCTTATAAATAAACTAAATCTCCCAATTTGTACTACTGCCAGCCAAAATTTCATTTTGAAAGAGCAAGCCATTGAAGAGAAAAGAAACGTGCAGATAAACCTTTCATAATAACCTAATCTACTAAAAAAAGTCAAAACGTTGACCATCTTCACCACCAGGCAAAAAAAATCCAAGATAATTATGTTGACCCTAACCAAAAGGTGCTAGATAGATAGGAAAAGCGAAGCCACACAAAGATGGCAAATGGCCCTATGTGTAAACCTTTGCCAAACGAGTCTCTATCTAATGAGATCAACAAAATTAATATGCAAAATTACTTATTCTAGTGTCACTGTCCTTTGAATCATCAATTTCATGATATTATAAGAAAATATCTTCACAATATTGACCAGGATAAGTAGATTTTGGTCAACATAAACTTATCAAAAGAAGCAAAATATAAAAAGAAACAGATATTTGTACCCAAATCAATAATCATCAAATTTTCTTCAAACAAATTATCTTAGTCGAACGACATTAAAAATATCCCTCCGAATGAGTAATTGACATCTGCTTTTTATAAATTTTGGGGGTCTTTGTTTTTTATCAGCAAACATAGAGAATATTAAATTGCATAATTCGGGAGATCCATGAAGAATAAAGCCAATTTTATCCTATAATTAGGTTGCAATTTAATATAATTTTTCAAAATGAATAACTTTGCAAACGCACTGCTGCGACGTGAAGATGATCTAATATAAAACATGACATCAATGGGAAAAAATGATATTTTTATTTTATGAAATAGAAAGTATAAAGAAGATTTACCATAATTTATATTGGGAAATCTGTGTCGCTGTATGTATAGGTTGATGTAATGCAAGACGCTGAGAGAAGAAGAGCGTTTGATATGATTTAAGTGGAGAGAAGAAATGTTTGAAGATCCGGGTTACGCTTAATGGGCCACTATTTTATTTAGGATTTTCTTGCTAATTTAGCCACCTGGCTAAAAAAATTTGAAAACATTCATCCGCTAGATTAGATTAGTTTCCAATGTATTAATAAAAAAAAAAATATATATATATATATACACACATTGCATTAATTAATTATATTGACGAACATTTGAATTAAAATCTTGACTGAGGTGTAGGTAAACTGTATAAATATAGTGTATATAAGTGGTATACATTGCAACAATTTATTTCTTCAACGAGTTAAAGTATTTTTTTTAATTGTCCCCTAAACAGACCTAAATTTGAGATGTGAATTCATCTCGATGCTTCGAGCTATTTGATATATTTATTTTAATTTTGTGAATTGAGAAAGATCACGGTTGAATTTTTAAATTTGAGCTTTAAAACTCTTCAACGGCAAATTTCAATGGACATTAGTTCAACTCAAAATAAAATTTTCGGACAAGGACTTGATAATGGAAAAATATCAGAGAGAGGGTGAAAAAACAACAAAGGAAGACGACATAGAAAACAGAGGATGAAGGTAAAAAATAAACAGAAAGAAATGTAAGATGAGGAGGGAAATGAACTTAGGAATTGTATTTACAGTTGACATATCCAAAATTTTATGTAGGAAGAATTCGATAAATGTAAATTTTTGAGGATATTTTCATTTTGGAAAATATATATATAAAAAATCATTCTCTTCTTTTCAAGAGAGAAGCTATAAAATACTGCTTCCAGAAATGGAAAAACAATTTCTGTTGCTACTCAAAAATATCTTCTCTTTTGTTACAAAACTTGACCAACACCAATGTGTGTACATTTATTTCTATATTCCGTGAAGAATTGGACATCTTTATATTAAAATCTGGAATAAATTCGATTTTAAGATAACAAAAAGTTTTAGTAAAAGTCTTGGTGCCACATAATATTGTAGTATCTTTAAATTACAAGTTTAAAAAATCTTCTATTCTACTGTCTACACAAGGGTTGACTAATTTTTCTTTATTTTAGAATTGTCATATTGAATCGACTCGCATCAATTGAACCAAAACAGAATAAATTTTTAAAATAAATTCTTGAAAACTCAATCAAACATGCTATATACCTGGACAACCTAGCTTCAAGAAGCATCAAATGAACATGTAACAGGTAGAAAACAGTTCAAATAAGAGTAAATTATGTGAATTGAACATATTAGTATGAGTGGTACATGAGACCACAATAACAGTTGAGCATATTACTATCGATTATGAAATCAACCTACAGTTGCATACTAAAAAGGTCAAATGTCAACCTCACAACATACTTATCATGATGTTAATTAAGACCATGACAAGACTTGTGCTTCAAAACAAATTACAAAACAACACTTATCATGGACATAAAAGACCATGACAAGACTTGTGCTTCAAAACAAAATTACAAAACAACACTTATCATGGACATAAAAGACCATGACAAGACTTGTGCTTCAAAACATATTACAAAACAAACACTTATCATGGACATATAATATCACAAGTAAAATGATAAATGTGTACACAATCTTGTCTTACGAAAAAAATAAGATTCAAAAGACATTCAGCCCAAATGAAATGCTTCCAGATCTCTAAATGCATATCAAACCAAAGTCACAAATCAAGAACCAATATTATTATTATTATTATAAGTTTCTGACTAGACAAAGCAAACTTGAGTTGCATTTGACTTAATAGCAGTCTGCATGTACTATATATATATAATTTCTAGTTGGTTTTGGGTGTACTACTCTTAGTAGTAATCTAAACCCTTTTTACTACTCATACTAATTAAATTCTCTATTTATTTTATTCATAAACATCGAACTTGTAAATCCAAAGGAAATTACTAAATCAAAAGGGAGAAGCTAATTTACTCTGCTCCAACCTCAACACATAATTCACCAACTTCACCTCAGTTACAAACCTTGCTGCTTTCTCCGGCCGTCGAAGACATTTTCATCCAAGGACCATTATAGTCCACAGTTTTCATCATTTTACCACGTCCACCACAAGTCTCAATATTATCATCCGGGCCCCTTTTCTTCTTCTTTTCTTTCAGCAACACACCAAATAGTTTCAGAGTATCACCCTTTTCGTCATCGTCTTCTTTATCATCGTTGTCATTATAACTACCCTGTTCTTCTAAATCTTTAACACCACCAACCTCCTTGACCAACTCTTCAAGGCTGGACCCCGATGGGGTTCCTTGGCTCATGATACGGTTGATCATATCGGGTGCAACCTTCACGTACTGGCTCAAGAAAGCAACCAACTCATTGCATTGTTTCTTCGCCTGCACCAGCTCTGAGCTCAGCATCTGGTTGTCTTTCTTTAGCTTCTCATTCTCATCCGACAAGTCCGTGAACTGGGACAACTTTCCCGGAGTGTCCACAGATCCCGGGTTCTTGGAGTCTGGGGACGAGGTAGAACTTGAACCTATGTCATCCCCAGAATTGTCCGGAGATGCTGAAGTCCCGGCTGCCACAGACTTTCCACCAGCTGGGATTGATGTCACGGTCTTCCGACGGCGTATAGCTGTGAGGAGCTCTTTCTGTCCTCTTTTGAAATTCTCATTGGCGAATTCCCATTTGTCAGGCACAATCTTTCGAAAACCCTGCATTCAAGATAAGCAAAAAAGATGAGCGCAAACTTTTCAGTGACAAAGAAATAGCCACAACTACTGTTATAGATAATCTTAACTATCTTGGTAATACTTGAGGTTGCTCTTCACCTAACATGTCTTAGTGATAAAAGATCTTTTGATAGAGGTATCAAATTTCTATTAAGTTTGGAGAAATAGTCCATCATGGATATGTGCATGTAACAAGCGAGGGCAAGAACCTATCCATACCAGATATTAACACCAAATCAATAAATGCATGCCATGTGTATAAATATACAATAACATAATAAGATCATGGTTAACAATCTGCATCTTCACTCCATTTAACAATGGGTAAAAGTCCATTAATCATTGTTTTCGCTATCAAGGGAAACCGTAACAAAAGCTTTTTTGGTATAACTCCAATAGTAACTTCTCTATTCTCTTTTCTAATTTTTTACTTTTAACACTCCAAAACCATAATTATTAGTATCTTCTTTTGGCTTCTAGAGGATTGGACTAGGTAAAAGATAGTTATCAAAAGGCCTTAAAAAAATAGAGTACTAAATTACTTGGGGAAATTTGAATGTAACTTTAATAAGCGAACTTATGCAGCTAAAATTGACCAACAACATTTTTCTTTCATAGTTTTGGGTTTTTAGGAAGATTCACCTTTCTTTTTTTCCTCTGGATATTGGAGAATATAAGAATAATAGTTTGTTTTGGGAAAAGAAAATCTAAAACCGAAGTAAAATTAGAAAAGAGTTAACAGTTTATTAAAGAAAAAAAAATTAGAAAAAAAGTATTTGAGAATGAATTTAATTTGTAAAGTTACTACTTTATATAAAGAATCATTACTTAAAAATCTCTTAAATTCTAAAATTCCAGCTACGAGTAAGACAAGGTCACTAGAGGAGAACATTGTTATGGGGAACACACATACAATCCACGTTTTCCAATTGGACTTTTGTCACCTTATTTGGAAAATGACATGTAAAATCCCCAAACGATAATTCACGGCACTGTTTCTACCTCTTTCCTTATCACCAACCACCGCGTGTAAGGTTCGGTTGATAAAAAGTTACAAAATACAGATCATTTCGTTTCTAAAAGTTCACATCTAACAATTCAATAAAGTTAAAATACTACTGTACATTTTTACTACTAATTTTTTTTTAAAAATAATTATAGTATAGACACATGATAGATATGGCTCTTTATGTCCTCGAAAGGTTGCATAATATATTTCTTTATTCCTCAGAGAGAGGAAGGGAAAATAAATAAAGAACCTATCTGATGTGTTACAGAATAAGATAATTGACTTCACGTCCTGCGGAGAAGATTTCTCGAACCTTCCCGAAAGCATCAGAAACTATCTTTTAAATATTACTTAAAAAAAAATGAAATATAATTTTTTACTTTATTCTTGATAAAAATACCATAGGAAATATGTCATACCTACCATCCCCTGTAATTTAGTTTAGCTTAAATTAAAGTTCTACCGATTTAGTTTGACTTGATACAAAATTATCGTAAAGTAACATTTAAAAAAACGTCTGTCAAAAAAAATTAAAAGTTGAAAACATCACATATTTTGTGAGTAACTAACAATTGAAATTGTTTAAACGATGCAATCGAAAGGATATAAAAGAGACGTACATAGGTGTTAAGCTGTCGAACGAAGCTGGAGAAATTATTGTGCTTGAAGTATTTGGGAAGCAAATCCTTTGCAAATTCAGCAGTTTTCCACACCACAAAGGTTGTGCCGATTTCATTCCAAGATATGACATCGTCAGTGGTCGCATCATCCACCAACTGATACGTCTTCAACAGAAACGGCGCCGGCGCTGTTCTTTGCGACATCCCCTCTTTCTCTAAATCTACCCAAATTTCCCCTTTTGGGGATTTTACTTATTAATTGACAAGATCCTATAAGAATTTTACAAATTTAAAAGAAATTAATTAGAAGGAGCAATAACTGAAAAGCAAAAGGGCAGTAAGAAATTCCCAATCCCAACAATAGAAACCGAAAAGAAAGACTAGAGAATGAACAAGATTATTTTTAGGACGATTGATGATAATCTTAGAATCTTCCATTGGCTACAACTTTGCCAATCTTCACCAACAACAACACGACCATAACTATCTTTTCTTGCTCTAAAAAAACTTGATTTGTTTTCTCTCTCTTATCCTTCAAGGTTTTGAAAATGGATGAGAGATTAAAAGAATGAGAAAAGCAAATTTAATCTAGTAAGAGGTTCTAGAAATATTTAGAAGACTTTTCGAAGAGTAACGAAGTCTAATAAGGCAGGGCCCATTGTTTAGAAAATACGCGCTTTTGTCGCATAGTGACAGGTGACCTCTTTTTTTTTTTTATTTAATTAAAATTAAAATAATGAAATGCACTAGAAGGAAATAGTGGGTGAAGGATGGATTTTAATTTCTTATTCAAAGTTTTTCTATAATACATAAATTGATAGATACCAACAATTGATAGATAAGTGTTTTGTGTTTAATTTCGATGCAATTCAATTAATTAGGTGGTGCATATTCATATTCTTCAATTGGTGAAGTTGAGTTTTCTTTTTTTATCTTTTGGGTACTTGATTTTCAAACTAATCTTAAAATAGTGTCTATTTTTTTTTATTTTTTTGTATGATTAAAATTTTGACAATATTATAACTTTACAAGTGGATGAGTTTTTTTCCTTTCTCACCTAACAAACTCCAATTTGCTTGCACGCTTAATGACTTTTTTCTTTTCTTTATTTCATAGGGCATTCTCAATTCTTCTTATCTCTCTCTAAAAAAACATTAACAATGACATACGTACTCATGTGAAAAGTCCAAAAAGAGATAGAATGTATATCAATTTTATTCTTATTTTTACAATTAGAAAGATATATTTATATGTAAAGATATGGTAAATATTATTCTTGTTTTTATGATTAGAAAAATAATTTTTTAGTATATTTATAGATAAAGTTATGATACTTGAACTTAACTTAATCTCAAAAGTTAGCTTATGAAGAAATATAAGGAGATCATCAGTTCATTCCTAACCAATGTGAAATTTTTACCCCACTCTAACATTATCTTCCTATTATCGTTTTATTTTTGGTGATTATATGGCCTTTTTTGGATCATATATAGAAAAGAAAGGGGTGAACTCATGATTTGAAGACTCTGAATACACTAATATTATTATAATTTAGTATTAGTGAAACTTTCAATTGAATACACTAATATTATTTTAATTTAGTATTAGTGAAACTTTCAATTGTCATATTTGTTCTACTATAATGATCATGAGTTCTGGCTGGGCTGGAACCGAGGTCGGGAGATCGGGTTCTTTGATCGGGTTAACAATACAAAGTATCATTAATTTTTTACTTTTCATGGCGCACTCAAACTAATATTTAATTTTTACTAATTTCTCAAGATAAATATACATATATATATAAATAATTTTTCAAAATTAACATATGCAGGTGTATCCTCACCAACCTATAAAGGCCAATCCCCCCTCCCCTCTCTCTATATATATAAAATATCCACTATATCATTCCATTATGTGCATGATTTACATTATTTTGACGAAAATGTAACACGTAGTAGAATTGGAAGAATTATGTAGTTGTTGTAGAAGGAAGAGGGAGCTTAGTGCGTAATGTGAGACTTTATGTTTAAACTTTGGATAGGTTACGATACTTTTGAAAAATAATGACGATGGTTGGCCGCCAATTTAGAAGTTTATAAAAAGGCATCGACTTTAAGGACAACTTTTTTGTTATGTGAAAGATATATTATTTATTTATCTTGCTACAAAATTATATGCTGTTATTATTACGTACTTACCATCACCACAACGTTATGACAAATACCAGTTGCTCCAATTAGGACATGCTAGTGATTAGTGAAGATATATAGCTAGAAATCCAGTAAAAATCTATACTAGATATGGATAAAAATTAAGATATAAAGTTGTTGTTTAATTTAGCCTTTTTAAAAATTAACGAAAAATACTATATTTGTTCTGTTTTAATTTTCATGATAATAGATAACAAAAATAGTATTTGTTGACTAATAGAACGACCACACTGCTGGTATTAACCAACGATTCCCAAAGAATTAGATACATGCATACAACGAGCTTTAGTTTAAATATGTTTTTTTTTAAAAAAAAAAAAAGATTTCTAGCTTTATTATTGCAGTGAATAAACTTCACTAAATCACTCGATAAGTAAAATTGCCTTAAAAAAATTAATTCTATCGACCCGTATTTTTTAAAGTTATTCAATTTGATTTACTCTTACATCAATTAAATGATTCATTTTCATTGTCTGGTCCAAATAAAATAAAACAAAAACGACTACACAAATTTTACAATTATGTACGGTCGATTTTTTTCAAAAAAGTACAAGCTTATTTTCCTGCAAATGTGATTGTTTTTCCTTTGATCTTTAAATACATATATAGAAATAATAATAGTAAATATTTTTTTTTTAAATATAGAGATTTGAGTTTAACATGGTGTAGTAAAACATACCGTCATGATGACGTTATTATTTAAAGAACAAGACTAATTAATGAAAATGGACAGTTTAATTTCCTGCCGCTTACGTATATGCTTCTATTAATCTCTTAATTGTGTAGTTAGGAAGTAGTCTAAATAAAAATGAAAATTATATAACCCTTAAAAGAAGTACTAGAAAACTTCATGTCCTTGCAACTAATTAGGGTTAGGTTTAAGTTGCATTCACTAAACTTGTACCTTGAAGACTTTAAGCCAAGAAATATGAAAGGCAAGAATATCCTACCACATAATTATTGCAAATCAAAGCTTACTTATTTGGTTAACTAATTAACAACTCCTTATTCAACCTTTACGTCTCTTTTTGTGTTGTTTCTAAGAAAACGACAAAAGAAGATATTAAAAGTGATGTTTATTAAGTATAATATAATATAATATATTCCTTACTTTGATTTTGACATATATCCCCAATGGTTTAATTTCCTTGCCGTGTGAACGCAGGTAATATGATGCTACAGCCTACAAGAATATTTAATATATACCAGATTATTTACTCTAATTTTATTTATTATTTTAAAAAAAAAAGGATATTATATCAAAATTGTCATGAAAATTACTTATGGCTGTAGGTATCTTTAGCACATCAGCAGAGGAATTGAGATTTATTATCCATTTACATGAATAAATTTATTTTTTTTAGATTTCTTATAAAGCTGATAATTTTTCAAATCTCTTACTAAAAAATTTTTATAAAACTAAAAACAGACTAGATAATCATATCCCTTAACTAATTTGAAGGTGTAGAGAAGTACTCCCACCATTTATTTTTTATCATCCACTAATTTAGAAACAGATTCTCACTTTTATTTATGAATTTTATTTTATTTCTGACACTAATTACTTATTCTTTAAATTATTATTGAAGACTTAAAATTATATATTAATTAATAAAAATATTATTAAAATATATTCATATAAATTATTATGCCATACAACACATATAAATTTTAAAATAAACAAGTAAAAGGATGGAAAGAGATATAATTAAAAAACATAAAGTTGTGTATATGCCCAAGTGCAACTGTCCAAGTGATAATTGAAAATGAAACTAGGAGTGTTCAAAATTAAAGTAAAGTGTTTCTCAAATTGCTTTACAAAATTAAATTTAAATTTTTTAAAAAAAAACAAAAGAGATGTGCCACATGGACTGATCAATCATCGAAAAAATAGGCGATATATATGGGATATTATATGTTCAAAGATGTTTTTTAAGGAGTTTCCATACAAAATTTGTTTATGTGAAAGTGACCCTAGCTACTCACTCTGCCCATACAAATCAAATCATTCAAACAAAAGAAATCTAATAAGGAGGCCACTATAGGTTGTAGTACACTAGGATTTGATTGAAACAACTTCTTGATAACAAGTGTATGATATTTTTTTTTTCGAGTTTATATAGTATGAATTTAAATTAGTTGAATAGATTAATGTTGAAAAGCAAAAATAGCCTCTGCTAAACAAATTTAAAAAATAATCATCGTTATAATTTTTAAACAAATTAAACTCCTTTTCTTTTTTTTTTAAGAAAATGGGTGTTATTTAATAAGTTGTGTTTGAACGCCACAATTGGAAATTTCAAAAATTAAGAATGAAGACTTGTTGAATTCAGTAGGTAGTTACATCAAGCTTTACATACAGTATTTAACTCTTCAATTTATTTTTCAATATTATTTCATATCTCACACTGGCTGTTATTCCTGGTCAATTTGGAGACCAGACAGCCCTATGAGTATAAATTCCCCTGTATTACCTTTTTTCTATATAATTACTTCATAATTTAACAAACGGCTCGATTAAAAAAAGTTTTTAATTCATTCATTTATTTTTATCACATTGTAATTTAATACGATATAAAATCGTGATGAAACTTTTTTCCATTCTATGTCTTGATTTAATAGTTTGTTAGTAGACAAATTAACCAGGAATGTTGTTAAAATACCACATTAGTACTCGTTGAGCGTCAAAGGATTGTACCAACTGATGAGCATTTGTAAGTATAGTTTGGCGTCACATTAATAAAATGTCAATGCCTCCCAATATAAAGAAGATTTTTTAAAAATTTTTTTTAACGTTTTTTAGTTTGTTTGGTATACCAAAATAATCAACCATTTGCATGAGATTTTACATATTATGTTTAATTTCTAAAACACCCTTGTATTGCGTTAGCATTACAACTTTGATTTGGTAAGTCAGAAAACTACGTCCTATCACTTCTCTAGTTGTTTAAATTAATTAAAATATTAACCTTCCAGTCGGCCATGGAATATATATATAACACGTACGTGCAAGTTGATAGTTATATACATAAATTATAATAATACTATGGTAATTATAATCTAGCATTTTTTCAATGATTTAAATTACGTCAATGTGTTTCCGAATCCCGTTTGATTTGTAGAATAAAGAATTTACTTTCCGTCAATTTGACCACCAAATAAACTTAGGCCTTAAAAATGTTAAAAATGTTTAACATTTTTAAGGCAATTACCATGGTTTTCGTTAGAAGTTATGGACTAATTTTACTCATTAAGATATTTATTCAAAATATCTTTTTCAGAGTCAACATTTCACACGTGGTAAACAAAACTTGCCGACACTATATCTACCGTCTATTCTCCTTATTTTATATTAATCGATTATTTGTCATTTTATGCAATATTAAAAAAGTTATAAATAAAAAAATTATTTTACTAAGTCATCA